AACCTTCTGCTTTTCCTACACACACAAAAAAAAAAAAAAAAAAAAAAAGAATACAAGGAATACTGAAGAAGAATCAGTGCAATATTAATTGTCTTCTGATTATTTCCTTAGAATTACCATGAAGTTTATGTTTGTCTTACAGATTAAGAAACAAACTTCCTGCTCCAAAAATTAAGTCCCACTAAGAGGAAAATGCACACCTTTCTTTTAATATAGCTTCCAAAATTGGCTTGAAAAGAGACTAGATGCATCTCTGCTGATCTGTCACGTCTTATGTCTGTAGAGACATTACTCAGGCAATTTCTTGACTGTCATTCAACCTTTTTCACTGTGCCAGCTTCCACTGGCTTACTTAAGGGCTACGTGATGTCCGTTTTTAAGATGTCTGCTGGAAAACATTTCAGTTTCTTTTCCTCAGGGACGAAACAACTTATGCCAAGAATGTATATGCATACATTGTGTAGTACATCTTGAGAATATGACTGTGAAGCAATTTCAGATTAGTTCTCTCCAGCATGTTCTTTTCAGTCATAATTTTAAGTTAAAAGTATTCTTCCACTAAGATTCAACCTAATAAATAGTGTGAGAAATCTGATTTGCCAGAAATAAACTTAGAAAAGTAATCCAGATACTTTTTGAGGCCATTTCAAAATTGTGTTTTTAGATGGTGACGTGGATCTGGTTCTATCATTATATTGGATAGTCAGTGTGTATAGTGTTTATACCTCATAAAATATGCTAGCTACCAAAGTATGGAGCATTCTGGGTAGAAGATGTTCTCTGTTAATCTTATTATTTAGTTTGATCTTGGCAGCAGTGATGCTTCCATATGGAGTGAGTGGAAGAGTAAGATGAGTTGAGACAAGATTGGGTGAGGTGAAGGGGCAACTTGGGTGGGAAAAGAGAGGCTGAGAAAACCTGCAGCTGATTTGGGCAATACTTTTATTTTTCTTCCAGGATCCTTGTAGTGGAGAATCCTTGCCATCAGTCTATCTCACCACAACACTCACTGCTGTCCCTCTTAATTGAATAGCTCTTTTATATTACCCTAAACAAAATAAAATTGTCTTCATCCCTAGTAGCCAGCGTTTCTACCAGTCTGCTGGAGAAGTGAAGACTGCACTAGGTTCAAATCCACATCATTTGCCTGCAGGAAGAAGCTGGCCCTGAAAGGGATTCCTAGTAAGACATTGTTTGGTCTCAGTTTTATGGCCAGCTGATTCTTTGCTATTCTGAGGATAAAGAATGCACCTTATTATATAACTTTCCTACCTACTCTAACTGATCTACTGCTAAGGGTAGGGGTGTGGAGGAAATGAAGAAAAGCAAAGAGTTTTCTAGTATTTCTTTGTAATACTCTTTTCAAGAGAAATAATTGTTTCAGTGCCTAAGTTACCTAAACTTGTGCAAAAGATAAATCTTTTTGGGTGCTTCCTACTTGCTAGCAAAACTACCACAGATAGTCTTGCAAATCTCAGTCTACATTGCTTTCATTCTCATCAAATTCCTTGCCTAGCATGGAGTTCTGCTTTCCAATCCTCAAAATGGTAGCTTACTTGTGGTAGTTATTGAGCATCACAAAAGCCCTTTTCCAGTTTTCCATGCTTGTTACTTTGTGTGGAGATGCCGCTTGATTTTGAGGAGTGTTTCCCCAGTCATGAGGAGGGAAACCAGTTTTGAAGTATGCTCCACTTCCAACTCTCCCCAGCTGGCATGAGTTATTAATAACTAGCAGTACCCACGCTTCACTGGAGGATAAGTAGATGTGGGTAGTGACGGATGAACATTCCATACCCCAGTGATTATAAATGCTATTATGCAATTTACTGGGACTGAGCATGCAGGTGCTCCATACCCTTCTCCTTTGTTCTCTTCCTCTTTAAAACAGCCACCAACTGTGCATGTGTTGGGTACTGCTGGAAAGATTCCTGCATCTCTTTCTATGACCAAAAATCAGGGAAGGAGATGGTTGGCACGTTCTAGGTGCAGAAGTCAATAGTGTTGGTCAAAACAAAAGCCAGAAAGTGTGTATGTGTACTTAAGAGTGTGGAGAGGAGAGGGGAGAGGGATACAGAAGAGGTGAATCAGCTAGGCTGCAAAGTGAGCTGCTCAGCAACATCCATTACATGAGCTTATGGAGTATGTTCAAAATATTATACACGTCTTCCCATTGACAGAACAGTTGGAATGGAGAACACTTCTCTGGCATCCTTTTACCTCTGTTTCTAGGAAGGCTCACTAATTTTTGTGATTTGAGGGATGGCCTATTCTTATTTTGAGGAGTTGGTGACATTTTACATAGTTTTAAGGTGAAAAATGCACAGCACAAGACTGATCCTATAGCTTTGGGCTGCAGGAAGATGCAAAGGTAATGTGTGGGAAGGGTGATTCTCTATAGTCACACACATATAGCTGAATGCCTGGAGCTGCGACTGCTACCTCAGAAAAGGTTGATGAGGCTGGGCGGGATGCTCCACAGGCGGGATATTACCTCCAAAATTCTTTCCTGCACTGTACAGTCTCTTCCCTTCCTGAAATGCTTTTCCCATTCAGAAATCCTCTCCGTCTTACTCTGAAATTGGTCTGCTTCTCTGGGAACAAGGAGCCTTCTAAGGAAATTGGAGTTCTTTCATGGAAGAGTTTGAGCAACCTGTCATGTCCCAGAAGAGCTAATGTCTTGGTCTGCAAACACCACAATGACTGTGGGCTTTTCTACATCATTCTACTGTTTCTCAATTTTTAGACAAAATGTACATCATCTCTGAGATCCTTTTCTGCTGAAAGAATGACTTTAAGCGTGTATTTTCAGAGAAGGTTTGAAGCTATGAATCCCAGAAAATACTTCTTCAGGACACTTGCAGATTTGCTGCTGGAATACACGTTGGCATACCAAGATCCTCCTAAGTGTGCTGAGAACAAGTTTGCATAAGATTTCCTTTCTGTGGAGCTAGAGTTCAAGTAGAAACTCACGCATAGGGTGGTTTGGCTCGCTAATGAATACAAGGATGGTCACTGAATGCATCAGAACCTGGATGAATGAATACTAAATCTGACCATAAAGCTGCCAAAGCAAAGAACTGAAGCTCCTATCAGCTTGTTTAGCCATGGTCTTTGGCCTTTACTTTCCTGAATTTCCAGTTTTGTTTTCTATTTCTTCTGAGGGAAGTATGGACATTGGACATGAAGGCAGCTATAAATTAAGTACTGTGAACATGAATATCTTGGTTGTAAAGATGTAAAGAAATAATCAAATTGATTTATCATGTGTCACACAGGAATCCTCAAGTCCCATTTGTTGAAGTTTCATCCTTGTTAGCTTTCACTTGGGCTCTTCTCTAGATAAAGTAGTACTTTGTAATGACAGATAGGTGCAGGTCAAAGTAAAACTGGGCAGTACATGGTATACATAAACTATCCAATGATGCTGATAAAAAAAAAAAGTAAGTTGATACACTGCCAATATAAATATAACCCGAGGTTTTAAATACCTATTTATCTAAGTGCTATTTGTAACTACTAGTTGCCTCAAACTTTGAATAAATTCACCTGTCAATCATTTTTAATAATTCAAAGACTTACTTGCATTCTAAATAGTACAAAGAAATGTAGTCAAAAAGAAAAAAAATGAAGTATTCTTTCTTTTTGAAAAGGATTTGTCTCAGAGTTCTTTTTTGCTGCATTCTTTTCTCACACATTCCTTGCATTACTGGGCTTTCAAAGGGCAGGTGCAAAAAAAAACCCTAAAAACCTAATCAGATTGCTTCCTATAGCTGTTTTTTGTTTTGTTTGTTTTTGTTTTTATTTGCTAAAGCTTAGACACTATGGCCATTATTATTGTCAGATCCTCTTCATAAAACATCTGCTCCCATTTTGTCCAGTCTGCTGACAGAAACGTATTGCATGTTACAATGTATTAAGAATGTTCTTGTATTGAATAAGTACCTTCCCTTTGATTAACATGTTACGTAATCTAATCCTTGTGACAGAAAAACATACACTACTTTGGAAGAAGCTGTAAGGATATTGGTTGGTAAGGCAGGGGGACATTCCTTTGCTGGTTTATTTTTCTTTAGTATTAGTGCTACACTGGCTTGTCTTGAAGTCTGTAAAAGATTGCTTTTCTCTCGGGAATCTTCAAATAATTTAGTTAAAGAGATTGCTAACCAAATGTATAATATTTTTTTATTAAATCTTGGCTTAAATCCATTAGTCCTAAAGCTATACTGTTTTAGATATTTCACATAGCCAATCTGCCACAAAAAAAAAATAAAATAAAATAAAATAATAATAATAAAAAAAATAAAAAATCATCTAAATCATCAATCTTTAAGATTTCGTGGGTGTTTGGGTTCTTTTTTTTTTTTTTTTTTTTTTTTTTTTTGGTAACATAAGTAACATAAAAATTGTCTTGAGGTACCTAGAATCATGTAGTGGCTAAAACAAGACAGTTAAAATATTTTATAAGATCATTCAGCAATACTGGGAGCTTCTGATAGTATCAGTTAGGTTAAAGGAGATTCTACCTTATTAGTCTATATGCTAGAATCTACTTACTACATATATCTTTTTAAATTTTATATAATAATAATAATAATAAGGTTTAATTTAATTAACACACCCATTTCACTCTTTTTCTGCTACTCTGTTTTTAAGAGTTATCAGTATCTTCCTGTCCCTAATTTAGTACCCAAACTACCATCCAATAAACTGCACTGCACTCACCTCCTTTTTTTTTAAATACTAAAATCATCGAGTATAACCCTTTGGGTCATTAAGAAACAACATGAAGCACAACTACATTTTCTTCACATTAGAGATACCTGCTTGGGAATCTTTGGGTTTATTGATGTTTACTTAGTGAGTGAACAAGTTTTTTTCTGTCAAGTAGTGGTGTATACATGGCAATGACAATGATAGTATAATTTGCCTCTATTACTTCCTTCTATCAGAATACTGCTGCACTGCCAATTTCATATCTGTTGTTATTATTTGTTTGACAGAATCAAAAACATGCCAGGTGCTTTGCAAAACAGAGAACAAGAAAAATCCCTTTCCAGAAGAGATGACTGCCTGAATAGAAATGACATAATGGCAGGAGACAAAGGAAGCAGAAAGGGGAAGCAAAACAAGAGATATAACCATAAGATCATGAGATTGGTTTGGAGGCACAGTGAACGCTATGAGGCATTTTTTTAAACCACATAAGGACTGTAGTTGGGATTAGAGGATGGAAATGTAGAAAAGAAGCATGGAAAGGAATGGAGAAGAAGGGAGGAACAGACTGGCAACAGGAGGAAGAGTAAACAGAGGTGTATGGGAGAGGCCAGAACACACACCTGACAAACTGAGGATTATGACTAATGCCAACAATGAAAGACCACATCTGAAGAGCATGATGATTTCAGGAGGAAAGCGAAGCAGGACATGGCGATGCTGCTAGGGAGAGAAGAGCCAGCAAAGCTGCCCTGGAAGCCTGCTCTGGAAGCTCCTCAGACTATTATAACCCTGCTTCCCCATCTTCTTTTTAGCTCCCCTCTTATACACAAAATATGTATATGAAAGAGCAAAGGAGAAGGAGAAGCAGCTAAATCAAAGATTTTTTAAATCCTACTTGGGAAGAAGCTTAAGCTGGGATGATACAGATTTACTTCTACTAATGATGCAAGTGGCAGAAAGTATCCTTTAGCCTTCCTTGTGCAGACAAATCAATGGAAGTCTTTCCCACTACTTACAAATAGGTCCTGTTGAGAAACAGAATTTGAATAAGTAATCTAGGACATTCTGAAATGTCATTTCACACTAGATCAGAAAGAAGCAGAAATCATAACATTTACATTAAAATAAACATGGAAGAAAAGCATTGGAGTAGTTTCTTCTAAAGCTGAAAATAATCGTTTCAGTATCAAAAAAAATAAAAATAAAAATAAATAAAAGTAAAAGATAGGGGAGGGGGCAATTTTTCACTGAAAAAAAAAAAAAAACAAAAAAAAAACAAAAAAAACCTAAATTTTCCATGAAAACACTGGGAATTATTTTAATTATGCTGATTTGACTTTTTTTCCCTTAAAAAAAAGTGACACTTTTTAGAAGTAAACTGAAAAATCGACATTTTGAGACTGTCAGACGTTTTAAACTACCCTTCATTAATAAGAAAGCTTTAAAGTGGCCAGTCTAATCCCTTCCTCACCTCCTTCTCCTCTGCTTCTGTGGTCAGACATCTCTACTGAGTAGGTTGGAAAGAGCAAAACCAGTTTCTATGTCTCCCAGAGATACGAGATATTGCCAGCTTCTTTAGGAATTATTAATTAGATCTGTTTACAGGAAGTAACTTTGTTTTTGTTTTTTCACTACGGAGTATGTCTCCATTTAAGCTCTCATCACAGCTCTTCCATTTTGTCTGGGAAAGTTTGTCAGAAAGCATACTGGAAAGCCTCATGTTTCTGTAACCAATTAAACTGTTTTTAGACATAGTTATAGTGTGGCAGATGTAATGGTATCATAGTTGAGAGATTACTCAAGGTAATGGAGTAATCTATTACTTTGATATATATAGACACTTTTTGCTTGGTACTTCTGACTTCAAAGTGTTCATGTTTAGGGTACTATAGATAATTACTACTTGTGTTTTTTATATTTTTAATAGGTTTTAGGAGACAGCACTGGATATTTTGGTAGTTGTGACACCTTATCAATATATGGATTTAGTCTCTTCTAGTAGTGGTTTAAGTATTACCTGGCGGAGACAACAGCTTCATTTAAGACTATCCTGGTGACTCTAGATAGAATTCAAATAATTTGTTTAGGAGATGAAATACAAAATCATAACTGAAATGTTACTAATAATCCTTAACTGGTTGGGTTTGCCCAGAATTTGCTTGAAGATTTTGGTAAATGGTGGCTTACTGGATTCTCAGCAGAAATTGCCAATTACTTTTTTTTCTTACTGTATTCAGTTTGAACTTTGCTTAAGTTAACTGAACTCTTGTCACCTCAGGGTATCATTTCAGCAATGAGTTTTACAAAACCTACTCTGTTAATGTAGAGATTTCAGCTATTAAAGAACATAACCCATGCAGAGAGTTAACAATGCCTAGCAGTGCTTGAAGAATCATGCCCAACTCAGTTATTTCTCTCCACCATTATTGCAGTAATATTAGATTTAAATCAGATACCCATTGAGTCAGCTTACAAAATCAATCCCACATACATTCCTCTCTCTTGGAATCAAATGTGATTCAAAGTTTATAAAATTCCACGTGCCACTGAAATAAACAATTGCAAAGCAGTGTCATATTATCTCCCCATAATAAAAAAAAATTTACATTTAATTTTTACTTGTTTCCTACAAAAGCATAGTTGCAATAACTTTTTGCAATATAGACTCAGCATAAAGCAATATCAAAATATAGTGAATATTTATATAAATTATATTTCACCAAGCTCTGGATTTAGTATAATTCTCCCTACCTTCTGGTATGGTAGCAGATAGGGAAAGTATGTGTAAGTTAACAGCTGGCATTGAAAGAAGACTACTGTGTGACATCTTCCTATCCTATCCTACTAAAAAGACAAAAAGGAAAAAAACAAAAACCAAAAACCTACCTTCCCCTCCTCGCCCCACTCCCCCCCCCCCCCCCCCATCATTTCCATTGCAAAATGTAACCTAATCTCTGAAAAATGTCTCTTCTGACTCCACACACTGAGCTGGATGCCAGATTTAGTAAAGGATTCAGTATGAGCTGTTTCAGTAGTCACATGGAACTTTTCTTGCAGGAAAAAGGCTGGAGGGAAAAAAAAAAAAAAAAAAAAAAAAAATTACAATGTATATTGAGAAAGGGAGCATGGTTATTTTGACTGCATATTTTTTTTAACCATGCCTATACTTTTCTGGCAAACCTTTCCTGTTGTTATCTGTCACCTTCTCCAAGAAGATACTTAGTTCTGCATAAAGTAAGAGTACCTGCAGTAACTCAACCCCAAGGTCCATGCAGGCCTGTACCTGGCAAGCATAGGGAGTCATCCACTGTCCTCTGATTATAATGTTTTCATATGTAAACTTCCAAGCACCTTCAGGGCTCTCCTACCCAGTGTGTACAGTTCAAATGCTTCCCAAATCAGGTGCTGCACTATACTTCACAGTCTGTATTTGTCCTAGATCTGGTGAATTTATTTTCTCTTCATGTCTCTCTTTCCCTCTCTGTTTTGACCTTTCTTCAGAAATAGAATGACCAGGGCTGCATGAATTATTCAACATAAGAGTGTATGATGTATTTATACAGTGATATAGCAAAACAGTGTATTTATACGGTGAGATTATATATATATATATATGTTTTCTATTTTGTTTACAGCTTTTTTCTTAATCATCCAAATATTTTGTTTCACATTTTTACTTGTTGATGAGTGCTTGACATGAAGTTTTCAGAGAGCTGTCTAATATCAGTTTACGATTTTTTTCTTCTCAAGCAATAGTGAATTGTAGTCCCTGTCTATCTATGTGTAATTGGACTTATTTTTTCCCTTGTATGTTTCTTTGTGATTTATCAAATTTCATCACCACTTTATTGCCAATGGCATTCCAAACTGTTAAATCATTTTGAAATTCCTTACAGGCAGCTTCTGATTTAACTTTTAAAAATCATTTTGTATCAAAGTTTCTCATCTGACAGTTCTTAGATATCATATTTCCCTTTACTACTAATAAAAATACTTTTGTTTAAATCCTTTGCTTTAATTGATGCCTCAGAACCCAGGAAGCTTTGCACATGCTATTTTTTAAGGGGGGAGGCAGGAGGGAGAACACCTTAAAGCTATTTTCATTTGTGTTTATTAATTGGAAACCTTAAAAGTATAATTTAGATCTTCTTAATGCCTACTGATTATGACAGAGTGGTTTTACAATCCTTAAAGTGAAAAATTATGAAGGGTAATCCATGAAATGCATTTAGGAATAGCCTTTAGCATCTTAAATGCCCTGCCTCATCTCAGAAATTGTAAATTCAGATTGGGTTTATCTCTCTCTCCAATGAAAGAGTACAGCTGGATATTTAGCAACAAAATCCACCAACTCTGACATACTGAGCAGGGAACAGTCCAAGCAAACTATGGAAATAGCCAGACAGGGAAAATAAAATAAGGGAAAGATGCAGTGATTTAGGTATATTTTCCAATACTCATAGTACTAAGTATGGTTTTGCAAGATGTGACTCGTAGTTTCTCTCTCACTGTCGCTATTCCTCTTCCATATGGGTTAATGGCACTTTCCCTTGCAATGAACTCTAGCGTGTTATGTCTATGCTCAACCTACTGCACCAAGGTATCAGTCCCTCTCTTTCTGTACCAGTAAATAATGAACTTTCAGGACTAGGCAACAACTGAGTGGGCTATGTAAAACTATGTAGAACATCTGTGTGAACACCCAAAGTTGCATTTAGCCATTTCTGTTCCATTGCAAGTCTAAGCTGTAGTCTGTGTTAAAACATTAGTGAAAGCAGTGAGATTCTGAACCCTGGCTTAGTAAATGTGTTAAACCTAATTGTGTAAAGTGAAATCTCTTCTGTTTGTTTCACATCTTAACTTTATTGAAATGTCATCATAACAGTTATCCAAAAACAATGCTGTGTCTACAGCACAGCTATGTTTTTTACCTTACATGAATACTGGGAGTACATTACTCTAGACGGGAGAGTAGATCCTGCGAGTTATTAGTGTTCATATCATACAGAAATCTTATATAGTGGGGGAAAATATGTGGGTGGTGATTGAATTTAGTGTTTCTCAAGCTGATTCGTATCCTAGATATTTCATAGGAGGTATGAAGATTTAACTTATTTATTTGATTTTAGGAACCTCTTCCTTTGCTAATATTAAAAAATAAAGAAATGTGTAGTACTGGGCTTAATTTTCTATAGTCACAAAAATAATTATTTCAAAAGCTATGGCTATGCTTGAATGGAGAGTGACAAAAGAGGACAAGTTGTCAGAAGAGATATTTTATATTCCTAGAGAAAGAGATATAAATGTCCATCTCCTCCATTATAGATGCCTGTAAGTCTTCTCTTTGAATCAGTAGAACTTTGGGAACTAGTAAGCCAAAAAATAAGAGGCTCCATAAACTAGCAGATTAAACTGCCATGTAGTATTTTAAAAATGAACAAAACCTGAAATGACTGTTTTATCTACATCTAAAATCCTATATCAGCCTTGTTCCCACATTTATAATTATGTTCTTACTTTATGTCCTATATGTTGGCCCAGTCTCCCTGCTTCTGCATTTTTTGTTTCATAGCTGCTATAACTTTAATGGGTTCCACTTTTTAAATGACAGATATTAATTGTGTAACAATGGCAGGAAGCAATAAAATAAATGACTGAACAGAAATCTGGGATTAAAGGAAAAGTCATAATAAAACCCAGGTTAGCTAATCTTTCCCAGGATGTAATGGGTAACTGCAGCTCTTGGTACATATCAATGCCAGATTATCAAGAAAATGGATTATTATGCACTGATGATAAATAACAATAAAATATTTCTGGAAGATGCATTATGTTCAGGAATACAAACTAAAGAACTGATAGAAAATCTGCTGTTTTAAACTTGATTAAAAACTCAAAGTAGAACTCAAACTTTGAGGTGATCAGTTTTATTTTTCTTTTATCTAGTTCTACCATTGCTTGTTTGCACAAAGCCCTTTCGGAAAACACACTCCTTGTTCCCTGCCCATATCACCAGCACATTCTGGCTCATTTCTTTTTATGTAGACTAGGATCAAAGAATGGATATCTGCAGTCTCAAGCCTTTGTTCTGCCTTCAGATGGACTTCTTGCATTTCTTCACGGGTTGTTCACCTGAGGTTCATTTAAGACTTCTGTATATTTTAACTTAAAATCTAAATATAAAATATATTATTGGGAGATGGACTCAGTTTAATCCTCTGTTTTAATCCAAACTCCTAGAATACAGGAAGTAAGAATTGATTCAGTCGTTAAAGAAAAAAATAAAAAAAGATTCATCATTCAGTAAAGGCAAAACATTTCATGTAGTATACTTTTTGTATCAAGGTTTCCAAAAGTTTGGGAACTCACCTTGAACTCCCCTTTTACAGGGATCCATTTTTTTTTAAGTATTGATTCTTCCGAACCTCTGAAACTCAAGAATTCTCAGTTTATTACAAACTGAGGTAATATAGAAAAGAAATATTTAGGCTAAAAGGAGCAACCTAGGCCAGTTCTCTTTCTTTCATATTAAGGACCTTGATTCATTTTAGTGTATGTTAAAGCTCCCTTTTCCTTACAAATACACATACAGTTATGCTTGTGGTGTACCTCTACACTTTCCTGAGTACCCAGGGAAGATTCTCCTCTGATTTAATATTAAAAATGAACTTCTAACCAGTGGGCAGAAATTCTCATCAAAGGTGGAGTATCAAGGAAAAGAAATTGAGACATTCTGTTTTGAGTTTTGTTTACATAAATATTTATGTATTTATTTATTTTGGTCTCTAAATATTTAATCTGTGTGAAACTTTAAAAGAAGATGCCATACTAACAGCCATAGCTAATGGTAATTTGAACTGGAATTTTTCAGCCCCTGATGCATTCCACCATTAAAATATCTATTTCCAATAACAACCAACAATTTCCAACAACAACTTTTCAAAATTTTATCCTGGTACATCCTGGATCTAACATTTTTTTTTTTAGTTACGATCTGCAATTTTCTTACTGTGAATTATTAATATTTTCAATGATTTTCCAGCAGTTCTGTAAAAAAAAGTGTACAGAACACACTTTAAAAAAAAAAAAAAACAACATTCATTCTATAGTGATTTCTAATGCCTGCTGAACTTTTGCAATTTAAGCATAATTTATTAAAACAGTAAGAAAGGCTCATGGCAAAAACAAAAAAACAAAAAAACAAAAAAACAAAAAAAAAAAACCAGTATATGTATGCATACGATAGATCTGGACCAAATTCTTGGGGAAAAGCTAAAAAAACTGTAAGTTTAACATAGAATGTATCCACCTACACTTACATGCATATATGCATGCACAGCATTCATCCAAAATGAATAGTACTTCCAAGAGACTTAGGAAAACAAAATCAAAATGATATATTAATTAATTCCTTACTATAATAAAATTAACCCTGTGTCTTCTTTTAAAATAGAGGATACTACTTTCCCCATCCCTTCTACCTTAATTTTGTCCTCCTGCACATTTTTTTACTGAAGAGAGAAAACAGAGAATTTCTGAAATTCATATTATTATTATTTTTATCATGATTTCTAGTAGGAATGGATTTGAGAAGGAGAATGTAACAAGGATTAAAAATATCCGGTGCTCTTAGTGACATCAAATGCAATGAAATCTCAAGGTCAGGTTAATTTCCTACTTCCCCTTATCTCTCTGACACATAGTACTGTATCTCAATAGCTGCCACCAACAGCTACCACCAGAAATCTTGGCTAATTAGCAATCAGTCATGTCACTCGGTGTGATCTCATCCAGCCTAACCGCTGAACCTGAGTACAAAAATAAAAAGGAAATTGGAAACTCTTAGCAACAGTGAGCTTGATCACCCATTTTCAGTAGCATAATGTGCCTACAGTTCAAGTTTTCATTTTGCAACGCTAATAGGTACATCTCTATTTATTCATTTAAGAATATAAGAATATAAGACACAACTACCAGCCAATAACCCATCGAATTCAAAGATAAGATTTCTTATCACTTCAACAGCATTAAGATAGAAAATATCTTTGATAATAAAAATTGAAGGCATACATTTTTTTTTCTCAACAGTAATCAGCTCAGCATAAAAAATACCCACCACAGTTGAGTAAAACCAAGATCATGTCAATGCTGGAGTCTGATGCAGCAAAGCATTTAAGCTCATTTATGTTATAACAACAAGAATATCTCATTATATTTATTGCGATCATTCAGATGATTAAAATTACGTGGAAAGGTCGATGGTTTTCTGGACTGGGGCTAAGGAATGAAGCATTTAAGATCAGCTTGTAATGATAGTTGAAATATTTACAAATCTTTTTAAGAGATGACATATAAACCAAAGTGACTATCTTGCCTTTTGATTGCTAGACTTGGGACAGCTTCAAATGTGAAAATCCTACATGTTCTGTGATTATTTCTTCCCTCAAACTAAGCAGCTGTTTGAGAACAGCAATCATAAAGTGCTAATCTCTGCGACCAATAAACAAAAGCAAATTGTGGTGGAAAGCTTGTTTATCTGTAGTAATCTCCAGGGGATTAGCATTTCAAGGGATCAGATTTCCTAAACCTCTTCTTTCTTGATAACAGCCTCTGCAGTGAGGTGACACACCAATAGGAATAAATTATCAAGGGCTGCAGATAAGAAGAGGCCATTTGTGGGTTCTGAGTGCAATAAAAATAGATGCAAAACAGTGCGGGAACTGGTGCTCAACACAAACCTCACAGGGATTAGCAGTTCAAGCTCTGATTTCCTTGCTGTTGTTAGCTGAGATTTATCATCAGACAGTGACTCAGAGTCTTTCTTATCTGTGATAATTTAATAGCTTAATAGCAATCCCTTTATCTGGGGGTCATAATTAAGCTTGTCTGATCAGGTTCCTAACAAGAACTTTGCTTGTATTTTTAGCTATGCCTGTGTTGTGTTTTTTTTTTTTTTTCTCAACGTAGCAGTATTTTTGCTAATTAGTATTAACAATATTATTGTTCACAATTATTGGTAATGATAACAATTTCATTTGGGGTTACTCTTTATTTGGTGGAAAAATGCAAGCTGAAAATAAAAGATACAACACTCTTAGACTTTAATAGATTTGCAAGCAAATTTAAGTATCTCAGCAACTTGTTGGCTTGTCATATTCAAATCTAATTCAAATACAAAGCTGAAAATGAAAAACTACTGCATAAAATCACTTTCAATTGCCTCATTTTCTCTGGTACAAAATTAACACTAATTTGAGAGTAAGCTTGACTGCTATTTTACACTGCACTTACTGTCCCTGTTTGTCATTCTACTAATGAGCTGTTTTTTCCACTGCTATGAAAATTTCCTTAACAAGAGATGAACTTTGAGATCTTATTATGACTGTTTAAAAACACAGGTGCCATCAAAATGAATCTACTGGCAGTTTTTTGAAAATGAAAATGAAAGCAAATTCAGACAGACCACATTGCTTTCTCAAATTTTCTTGATAATTTCTTGATTAAATATTTTTGGGGCTATAAAGAGGAGCGCATAGGAAACTTCCCAAGATTTAGAGAAACAGAATGATTGATTGACTATAGAACAATCATCTGAAAAACATAATCACACGCAAATATAGACATAGGGGTATGAGTGTAATGTGTGTGTATATGTACATGTATTTAAAATTGTCCATATATACTTATATATATACATGCATCTGTCTATGTTTATGCATTATATATTTCATGTCTAAATATACTTTTAGTCTTGTACAGTACGCATTCACAGATCTACTGCTTTATCTGTGAAACAGATCTTTTGAAGAAAAAATGCTGCGAAAGAGAATCTGTATGTCTAGTCTAAATTATTGTATAAGCAGTATAATAAATGTGGAAAGGCAGGGGTCATTAGAAAGTGATTCATTCCACCCATCTGAGGTGACAGTTTTAAAACGACAAGTTGCTTTTCACATGGCTATAGAGAAACACTGAGAACTTTGAGACTCACACCACCCTTTCCTTCTGGATATTGTCAAATAATCTTGAGTAATGAGTAGATGACTAAACGGACAAAGACTTGCAGGCAGAAGCAAAGAAAATTATCTATTCATTCTCCAATCCTAGTAAAGTAATGTTACTGGCTTTTGCTGTGCTCTGCAGGTAAGTTAGCAATGGCTTGTGTCCAGCTGTTTGGGTCTGGCAAGCACGAATTTGATTTTGAGCTTGCTTCATAGCCAAAAGTATGCCAAAAGAAATGACTGGGATTATTACAGAACATGGTCTAGAATGACCTTTGCTCCTCACAGTCTTGATTCAGATCCTGAGAAAATCCATAGAAATACTTACATTGACTTTGGTGGAGTCAGGGTTAAGGTGTCATCCATAATCTAGTAGCAGCTGGTATCTGCCTGAGAAGCTGAAATTTTACACAGATATGAAACAAGCAAAATGTGTGAAAGATAGAAATGACAAGGTGTAAGGGAGATTGCAATATAACACACTGAAATCCTTGTCAGTATCTGCAGCTAAGGCCATTGATACTTGGGTGCTGAGCTGACTCTGTGAGGCCCTTGTGAGATAAGCCCATACAGTCACTGAGATGTCTGCTTTACACATTTAACTTCTCAGATAACTTTCCAAAACTAACAAGGCAGAAATATTTCTTGATATATAATATTTTCATTCTATGTCAATGTGACAAGTTTAGCAGATTTTTTCCACCACTAAAACAAGTTTTTAAGGATACATAAAATAGGAATGCTTGCCCATCTCACAGTGAGAACAGAGACAGCATCGTGCGGTTACCACTGTGCTATATTGTTAGCTGTTCACCAGCTGGACCAGACATGATATAACCAAATAAATCTCCTGAAGAAAGAAATCTTGAAGCTTATAAAATGCTGTTCTATTTTAACTTCAAGTTCACAAATGTTTTCAATGGATTTTACTGCTGTCAGTACAACAAAGAATAAATATCTTAAATAAGTTTCATTGTTTTAATTTTGTCCATTGGTTGCAGAACTAATCCTGTTTCTAAAAAGAAATCATAGATATTACAAAGCAACTGCTCACATATCTAAAAGCTGAAGTAAGCTTTAGATGAAATAACACAGCTTTCTGTCTGTTCTCTGTCTCTGGGTTCATGATCAGGATTATGGCAAGTCTAACTTTAATTTTGTGTAGTTTTGCATGAAAACTGTCATTGTCTTGTCTTCAGTCTCGATTATTTTCTACATTTAACAGAAATAATATGCTTTTTTAAAATAAACAATATGTTTTTATTGATTATATACACACATATATAAAAATATGTTTGTACAACCAAACATACGCATAGTTACATAACATCATATCTTCTATTTAATGGTCAGACATTTTTCTTTGATTATAGCTACTGACAATTATTAAGAAACACCACAGAAAAGATAATAGCATCCACAACTGTGTTGTTATTTCCTTAAAATTTTTGTTGTACTGATGTGGGAGCAATATCTTTCTTGGGGATTGAGGGAGTTGACAAGCTAGGGAGGATTATTAGTTGCTAGTTACTGTTCATTGGTTTCTGTTTAAATGGACAGGAACCTGAGACTGGGAAGTGAAATCAAGCTCATGTCTCCCACATAGATCTGCAAAGTAGTATCACTGGAAATGCACAATTTAGCAGGCTTTTAACTTCAAGCTCCTACATGGCATTTAAAATGGCTTATTTGACAAAATGACATAAGAGGAAAAATAAAATTGCTAAGTACTCCCAAATGAGAACAAGAAACTGTTTCCCATTTAGTAAAGTTGGGCAGTGACACAGCTCTGAATAAAT